ACACACTCTTGTGTGTTACAGCCTGCTCAGTGTTTTATAACTAAGGTGTCACTTTATTTTTAAGCTCATTTAATAAGACAAGTTGAACCAGAACAGACTCATTTGGAGCAGCATAGAAACACATACAGTACACACATGGATCACTGTGTAGAGCTATGGGCAGCTTCTGCACAACTTCTATAATTAATTAAAGTCCCACTCCAGAAACATTTTCATTTTTATATTTGTATATAAAAATACTTTACTATAAACAATATGCAGTCTAACACAGCTTTTCCTCAAAAAAATTTCAGTGGGCCTCTGTAATAGGAATGAACATTGCCCCTCATTGTGCATTCCAGGATCTATGAATGTTGCCGTCATCCCTTATGTGGATTTGAATAATTTTGCACGCCCAATTTTTCAGTTTTTTATTTGTTAAAAAAGTTTGACATATCCAATAAATTTCGTTCCACTTCATGATTGTGTCCCACTTGTTGTTGATTCTTCAAAAAAATTACAGTTTTATATCTTTATGTTTGAAGCCTGAAATGTGGCAAAAGGTCGCAAAGTTCAAGGGGGCCGAATACTTTCGCAAGGCACTGTAATACTCATTCTGGAGTAGCTATGTTGTTTACATCCACCTTCCTGGCAACTATGACATCCACTTTGTTACCACAACACAGACTAATAAAAGTCTTCTAGTTCTTAAGTACTCTATTTTTAATCCCTATTTATCTCATTTCAATGAACATTCCTTTGTCTACATTGTTTACTGTCTGTTCATACTGCTTATTCTGCATTCTTTGCACTGGTTGTTGATGTTAATACTGCTATTTTGTTATATTACACAGCCTTATATGCTGGTTTACTGTTTTGCACATTGAGAGCCGATGTACCTGAGTTAAATTCCTCGTGTGTCCGTCACACCTGGCCAATAAAACTGATTCTGATTCTGACTCTCAGTGTCTCACTGAGCCAGAGCCACAGTCTGGATATGACTAGGACAGGCTGATGGAGAAGCAGTTCATTTCAAGCGGTAATTATTTAGACCATTCTGGTGAAAATGTAGTTACTTCCTACTGTGTCCTCCTATGATTAAATATAAATTTACCCCAGCTTACTGAGTTTAGATATTGATCCTTTACTATGAGAATTGATCCTAGAACCAAAACGTTGGGACTGGAAGTATGATATCTCAGGATTTAGAGAGTTTGGCAGACACAGAACTAACTACAGTTAACTGCAGTGTGAGGTATGAACAGCTACTCTCAGCTCATGCCAGGACAACTGTATGACTTTAATAAAGTTGTAAATGACTAAGAGCTGATCAGATTTTCTGTATTTAAAGTGCCTTCAGTAGTTAACCTAGCCTACAGTGATTATAGCTACAACATGCAACTTAAGGTAGCACTATCATGAAGCTCATTCCACTCCGCTCCACCCACCACTCCCTCTCCCTGCTCCACTACGCTCCAACATGTTCTGCCCAGCTCCTCAGATATTTGTCCTTATGAAATTACAATAAATGAGAATGCAACAAAACCTACTGATCAAGCAGAAATAATTGAAAATCTCTGATTGGTTAGAGAGGTCAGCCCCACTCAGAACCTTTCAGAAGCTAATATCTCCTACACTCCTGCCTGTGCTATTCAGTGAGTCTGGGTCACAGGAGGCTTTTACAGCACATCTCCACATAGGTGGTCTGCAAACATGTGACTACTAAGGTGTACGAAACTCAAATAGAGGGGCAGAAAGTGAAAGACAAAATGAATAGATGGAGTAAAGCCTGTATTGTGCTAGTTTAAATGATATTATGAGAAAAAAGTATAACCAGAAATAAACAACATATGTGGGACATGATTCTTTATAAAGAGGAGTGATTTTTCAACAGGAATTGAAAAAATTTCCTGCTATTGAGGTATAGGGTCTTGTGCATGGATATAATATAAGGTGTGTCTATGGATTAACCCATCTACAATTCAATACATGGCGCCCCTCCAGTTAATGCTACCGGTGTTTAAGGCTCTCAAAGGTCTGGTGACAGGTGTTGATAAGCTGTGTTCCCTCTTAAAATGTGTTTCCCCCTACTAACCTAATGAGAATCTAACCTTGTCATAGCTCTGGCCACTAATGGGAGTGCCAAGGGAAACAGCGTTTAACGGGGGCGAACCATCTCGGTGGGGGACGTGATACTGGTGTTTGTCAGTCGATTCCTTGCATTTCCCCCATATGAACAACTACCTTTAGTACTCGATAAAAGCTTCTTCTGCTTGGTCGGTGTGATTGATTTGATCAACCATAAATAGCACAAACTATTGGCATTTTGAGGGCTTGTGACAGTACTGCTTATATAGTAAAGCACTTCACACGCTGAGGCCGTTGTGTACCACGCTGCCTCCACGGTGCCGTCAGCCACTGATCACGCACCGAGGTCCTCGCCTATTGGTTGGTGCCAACACACCTTTGCGTTCTACTGGGCGACACTTTGAGCCCGTCACGCCCCTTCCGCACCCCCCCACTGCGTTTGAAACGATGAATGGGAAACCAGGATTAAGGCGAAGTTGGAAACGTACTGTTAGTGCTGTTTTGGTTTTAGGCGTTAACACAAGACGCACTGGCTACTTGTCAGCGGCCCTGAACACTCATTTTAGATGTAAGTAACTAATTTACATTTATTCGAGGTCATATCATAGCTATTCTATCTTACATTACATTTCTTCTGATAACTTGAAGATGTTTAAGTAAGTTATAAGAGGACACGATGGGAAAACACCATCTGATACTTTGTGTGTAATTGCTTTAATTTGGTTTGTAATGAAGGCTGTCAAGTCTGTTTAGCCTATCTAGGTCATAACCTATTACAAACTCATTAATTTATCACCCGTTTCTCAACTGATGCTTGTCCAGGGCTATGATGATAGCTACAGATGGGTGACAAGTGACAAATAAAAGCCAACATAAAGTGTCTCAGTAGGGTGCTGGGCCACCAGAACCAGAACCCCTAACATTGATTGTCCAAGTCTGAACCCTACTGGAGGGATGAACACATGTGGTGTTTTGATGTTGGTGGTGTTGGAGGCGCTAACATGTCGGTCCAACATCTCCCACACAGTAGGTGTTCAACTAGGTTGGGATCCAGTCGCTCACATTATTCTCATACTCATCAAACCATTCAGTGACCCCTTGTGCACTATGGATGGGGCCACTCTCATCTTAGAGGAGACCACTCATGTATTCGGATCATTTGTCACCTGTTTGTATGTCATATTACAAACTCATTAATTTTCCACCAGCTTCACAATTGATGGTAGGTGATGGTTATGATGATACCTATGTATTCTGGTCAGGGAGGGGTCGTTAGGTGTTATGTGACTGTGTAAGCAGCACAGCTGGTGTGTTTGTCCCCTGGGGAAGTAGGTGAAAGGTCCCCAGTGCAGAAGAGCAGCAGCTGATCATGCTCCCTTCACATGACATGGTCCTTTACATATTCTGTATATTTTGATGAATGGCAACATTGTTAGGCTTTAAAACACTGAATGAACATGCTAAGTTGTATACATCTGCTTTGGATAGTGGTATGTAAAACCTTAAATCCAGCATAGTGACAACAATGAGTACAAGCCTTTATTGTATGATGCATTGAAAATGTATCATTTAAATCCGATGAAACAACAGTCCATCCACCTCATACTTATTTTAACCCTTTTACCAGATTTCCAACATGGCACTTGAGAAGCTTCACTCAGACATCCAGAGTAAATTTCAGCATGCTCCTATGGGCGCAGGTGACGTGGAGGCTGTAGAGGCGCTGCTGTCCATGACTAAGCACTGGAAAACCAGAAGCTTCAGGCCCAAGCACCGCAGACCACTGACTCCATCCTCAGACTGCTCTGAGGATGACTCTGCCCCCCTTAGGCTTGCTGTGTTACAAGATGCTCCTTTGGTAAGTGGCCATATAGGATAAAAGTTGTTATGTTTAGGCTTTTTAGAGTGAGCCTGAGTGATCAAGGTTTTTGCAATTCTGGCACAGACAATACATTAGGCACAAGATCATTCTGTAGTGTTGTCTGTGCTCTGCTACAAGCATTTAATTGCCAACAGAGGTGAGCAGCTATTGCCACATGTATTACTACATTAGTTAAATATGGATATTTGTTGTGGACGGCACAGCAGCGTGGTGGTTAGCACTGTGGCATCACAGCAAGAAGGTGCGAGTCCGGGCCAACCCAGGGCCTTTCTGTGCGGAGTCTGCATGTTCTCCCTGTGCCTGCGTACTCCCATCTTCCTTCCACAGTCCAAAGATATGTCACTTAGGTTGATTGGCAACTCTAAATTGCCTGTAGGAGTGAGTGTGTGTGTTTGTTTGTCTACATGTCAGCCCTGTGACAGACTGGCAAACTGTCCAGCGTGTATCCCGCCTCTTGCCCATTGTCAGCTGGGATCGGTTCCAGCCCCCTGCGACCCTGTTCAGGAGTAAGCAGTATAGATAATGGATGAATGGATGGATATTTGTTGCATACCAACACAACTGATGGTCTCAAATGCATTAAGAAGGCAAGAAATTGCACAAGTTGACTTCTGACAAGACACACCTGTTAATTGAAAGCCATTCCAGCTGACGACCTCATGAAGCTGGATAAGATTTTGATCATAGTATGCAAAGCCTTGTGTTTTCAAGGCGAACAATGGCTAGTTTGAGAAATCTAAAATATGAACCATTATTTGCTTTACTAATACTTCTGAACTTAGTACAGTGTTCCATATGTGTTATTTTAATGTTTTTATGTCTTCAGTGTTAATTTACAGTGTATAAAATAATAGAAACAAAAAACATTGATTGAGATTGTGTCCACAACTTTGACTGGTACTGTACATAAGAACACACACACACACATACACACACACAGCACAGTGTGTACTGAACGCTACTGTAGATACAATGCATCCACAACTTCAGATTTCATTATAAAAAGGACATATGATAAGAGTGGGTTTTTTAGCAGCAGTTTAAAAGAGGACACCCATTTTACAAGCTATAATTTGCCAGTAAAAAACAAATCACTTATCTTTCAGTGTATGACACCACCATACAGCCCACTCCACTGTGAGACCACCCATTCAACCTCAGGAGCAACCTTACATCAACCTGCAGCAGCTCCACGTCCAAGCCTGCACCCAACAGAAGAGGCTCATCTGCACAATTATACTGCTGCTTCTCAGCAGAGGTTTCAGTGCACCAGTGTAATCCGGCACACTGCATATGGCCAGCACACCCATCTTGCCTCAACGGAGGAAACACTCAGTCAAGTTCATGTAAAAGACTCTAAAACAGATTTGAACTTGGAAGATGGGCTGAGCAATAAAGGTGATGAGATTATTATAATGCAGTCTGACTCTAGGGCTTCAGCGCTACAGGAACCTTTCACTGAAGCTCTGCCAAATGTGGCGAAAGCCAGCCAGACCCAGGTGAGTCTTTCAGGCCCGGGTGATAAAACAGACTTATCTCAGTCTGTCTCCTCTGTTCCAGCTGGTGTTTTTGGGGTTTCCCTTATCCCCGTATACTCCTGCATCCATCCTGTGTCTTCACTTTCTCCCACTGTGGCGCAAAAATCTGTCATAGCCTCTGAGAGCCAGCGGCTGCACCTACTTCCCATTCCGTCAGCAGTCACCACCGTGCAGACACCCCAACAACAGCAGCACAAACAACAACATGCACTACCACAGTCACAAACCCAAGTAGCTTGTCCTTCCCAGGTCTTCCTCCTTGGGGGTCAGGTGGCAAGAGGCCCCATAATGCTCCTTGTCCCTCAGGCAGCTGCTCCTACTCTCTATCTTCAGCCCACACCAGTGACCCCTGGTGGCACCAAGTTTGCAGCCATTGCCCCCGCACCTGGTCGTACCCTGTTGGAGCCAAGACAGAGCCACCTGTCCCCAGAGGTGTCTCGTGTACGCAGTCATGTTTGTCCCCAAGAGGACTGTGGCAAGACCTACTTCAAAAGCTCCCACCTGAAGGCACATATGAGGACGCATACAGGTAAGAGTTGAAGGATATGAATACTAATTTTACTGCACTTGTAGGTTCAAAATGTATGAAGCTTTTTATGTAAATAAGGACTTGAAAGAGGTAACAATAATCCCTAGTCATCAAGAGACAAGACACACGTTTCACAAAATGTCCACTTCACTATGTGTTCCACCAGGTGAGAAGCCCTTCAAATGCAAGTGGGAGGGCTGTCACAGGCGATTTGCTCGCTCTGACGAGTTGTCTCGTCACAGACGCACCCACACGGGAGAGAAAAGGTTTGCCTGTCCCATATGCCTCAGCAGCTTCATGCGTAGTGACCACCTGGCCAAGCATGCTCGGAGACACCTGGTAGCACGGAAGACACCCTGCTGGACGTTTGCTGTGACCCGGTCTGCTGACCTCGCTGCTTCCACAACACTCAGTCTCTCTTTAAGAAACCTTGTCTGAGGGATCCTAATGAGACACTAAAGAACTGGGCAACTAGAAAACTGAATTTGAGGCTTTGTGTGGCTGGGTCTCACTGCACAGAGGATTGTGTGCTTGATTTTTATGTCACCAGTCAGTTTCACAACTGTTAAACTGAAAAGTAAGTTAGACTACAGCAAGGGCGCTGCACCTTAACCACCAGCCTATCAGGGACGACTATATCCTATATTTCTAATAATATAATAATACTTTTTAATTTGTGTGTGTGTGTTGAGTTAATGAAATGTTTATTTAATTTATTCTCAATTCTCTTTTGCAAAAAAATCCTGATCTCTGAAAAAAATGTATGTTTACCTTTCAGTAATTATTTGACCAAAGAATGCTGAATGTTGATCTTTTGTGCCATACATGAATCTATTTGTCATACAAACATTTTGCACAATGCTTTTTTCTTGAAGGGAAAATAGAGTTCTTTATAAAACCTGAACATTATCATCATCATTCAAATGTTTTCAGATGTTTTTTCTACCCCTGTAATACCAAGAGGCCCATGGATCAGAGCAGGTGGTAGCAACATACTGAGTAGCTTGAAATGGAGTTAGCTGGTTATAGTCAGCCTGCTAGTGGGGGATCATACTGGGAGTTTTTTCACCTATCACAGAGGGTTATGTTGAGTGCGTGTGAGCATGTAAAGACGGGTTATTCAAGGAGTCTGTGTTCTATGTGTCATGGACTAAACAGTAGTTACCGACTTGCGTAACAAGCCAGTTGGGCCAACTACTACGGTGGCAAGAAAAAGTATGTGAACCTTTTGGAATTTCATGGTTTTCTGCATTAATTTGTCATAAAATGTGATCTGATCTTCATCTAAGTCAAGAATATTGACAAATATAATGTGCCTAAAATAATATCAAAAAAATGTTGATCTTTCATATCTCTATTGAGAACCATAAAAACCTCATAGTGCTAGTGGAAAAAGTATGTGAACCCTTGAGTTAATGACCTCAAAAAAGCTAATTGGATAGGGATAGGGATGCTCACCCAGCTTCTGGCACATTTAAGTGTGTACTGATAAATGTTCAGTTAACACATGCAGATACAGACAACATTAATAGTACGTGGATATTAACATAGTGTTTGTCTCGCCTATTTTACCAGCAATGACAAAGACAGAATAACACATTGTTCAATAGTTCCTATATGATTTTGACCCCTGTACAATTAGCTCACTAAACCAAATCCTTTATAGTGATCACAATATCCACAGTGGGAAGTGCATTAAGTCATCAGGTCATGAAACTTTAAGGTAGCGATTGTTATTTAGCAGTACCTGTACAAAAGCAGCAGGCTAAGTACAGCATTTATGGTCGTTAATGATAATACAGTAACGATTTGCAGTCCAGTCGATGAAGTGTTTATTACTGTTCAAGTTGACAAGCACAGCAACAAGTTAATAAAAGGCAAATGCTTGATAATTCATCATGCCTTAGACACAGATTGGCAGACAACTTCACAAATATGATCTTTGCAAAGTCACAAGATAACATAATATTCTTTAAACAGTCATGTTTTTGAAAAAAAAAATTAAAATACAATAGAAATAAAAAGGATTCTAGCATTATAAATGACGCTTTAAAAAACAAACCCCATTCCATGTCAGCTGATCCGTTATCCATAATCACATCCATGGTTTCATCTGCAGCGCATGCTAATAAACCTGCTTTGCTATGCTGTGGCATACCAGTTACCCACTAGTCTTTCTACTGGTCCAGGAGCAAGCTACTCAGCACCTTAGAAAAACAATGAAACACCAGTTTACTGGTGATCACATAGCCATTAGCTTTCCACCCCCACTAGAGCAGACTGCACTAATCATTTGTCCAGGCATGGGTGTCATGGTGACACTGCATACTGATCAGGCTACCTTCATTTACAGCACCAAAGAAGACGAGTAGACACACATTTATATGTGCAGCAATGTAGTGCAGCAAACCTCCAGTTTAAAACACTGAGAATAACAAGAGATTTTAAATGTAACAATGGAATCAAACTTTTATCACACAACACAAACTATACAACCAACTGAAATCATAAATACACATCTTGTATCACTCTAAAAGATATCAGAACTGTGTTTCTATTTAAACAGACTGCTTTACTCAGGTATACATATCTTTCTTTTCATGACTGGCAACAGCAATTGACATATAATCATTTAAAATTATGTCAACTGTATGAGTGTAAACGGCAGTGCCAAGGCATGCCCAACGGACAGGGAACACTGCATCGCTTTCTATAGTCGTCCATTTTGTTGCATACTAATTAACATCTACTTGGGTTAACCCAGTCTAATCACATCTTACACTCTACACTGGGGTTTGTGAGATGAATTCAGTCTGGTCCCAGCAATTTCAAGCACTATCTGTTGATCCCAGTGGAATGTTGACCAGAGGAAGCTAGCAGGAGAAACTAGTAAGATAAAGGTTTTCTTGGTGTGAGGTTTGCTAAGCTGGGACAGAGAGTGCAGCCTCTGTTTGGCAGGAGCTGAGGAAATAAGGGACTAATGAGAAGTTCTTTAGTGTACCCTCATGGGTGATACCAGTTTCTTGCATCTCAAACCTGGTGGAAAAACAAAGGTGAGTCAGCTGCACATTTATGCACAGAAAGCATGGATCCTTTCAAACTGCAAACTTTGTAATGCACTCCAAAGTTAAAAATATGTCACCACTGATTTCCTTACCAATCTCTAGAGGAGATGACATAATATACAGGAGGTGGGGGTGACTCAGTGGCGGTTGAGAGTGGCTGACCCAGACTGTAGGCCCCAGCATGGCTGAACATGAGCCAGTCTCCGATGTTGAGCTCAGGTAATAGACAGTGCTCCACTACCTGGTCCAGCTTGTCCCCAGAAGGACCGCAAAGGCTGCTGCTGAACACTGGAGCATCCAGGGGTATGTTCTGCTAACACATAGAACAGAGGTCATCTGCTTGCACATGTAACATAGCAATCATTTTTAGTAAACGAAGGCAAGATGCATTTTAAAAACTAACTAGAATTACAGATTCAATGTTGTATGCCTCCGCCAACAAGCCAGATTCATGTAAATGGGACAGACGTGAGGATACAGTGATTGACCGCGAAAATCTACTCAGTTCATCCTTGAGTCCAAGTGGACCTTCAAGGTGTTACTGAGATATCACATCCATGAGAATGGGTCGGAAGGATGGAGAGAAGTACGGACGGACAACAAAGCTATTGTGGGTGTGAAGACATAGCATTAACAGTTTACACAAGTCTAACCAATCCCTGGGTAAGGCCATGAGATCAGGGGAAACTCAGTAGACATGCCTGGCTTCATCAATAAACCTCCTTGTGTCTGTGGGTGCTCACAGACACACAGCAGAGAATCAGAGCTAACAGCTGGCTTTACCTTTATTGCTGTCACTAAACCTCTGAAATTTATTTTCCACCGCTAACAACCGGAGTGAAGTTAATATAATGTTGCAGTTAAGTAGTACTGGTGCATAGTTTTGGACAATTTTTATGAGTACAACTACTAGAGGGTGGTATTGGACCCATTACCTGATACTGATATTGGCTTCTCTGGATCCCAAATCTTGACCCAGAGAGTTTTTTTGACTCACCTTGTGAACTGATGGAACGACAATCAGTGTTTCAGAGAGTTTGCTGGCAAATGATCCATACACTCCCTCGTTCATACAGTACTGGAACTCTGGCTCATCATTGGGAGATGGATCATCTGTTCATAGAGGGTACACAGAATCTACTTTTAAACTCGCTTTCTATATTTTATTTCATATTACAGGTTGCATTCATAAGTTTTGTAGTCGGGTTGACTTTACATCATATTACATACTATTTGACAGTAAATGAGCCTTAATATCTTTAAAAATAAGTATCAGGCCACTGACTGTTTGCCAGGTCCTGGCGATCTCGTGCCACCACCTCCTTGGAGATGACATTAACCGCCAGGGTGAAAGCAGAGGACACAAAGAGGCTGTCAGGCTCAGCAATGATGGAAACTCCAGCAGAAGGAGGAAAGTATAGGTCCACCACAGATATGACTGCACTACTAATCTGCAAAAAGATGACAGTGGCAAACAGTGGAAACCAAAATGGGCAGGTCTTTGAAATTCACATCTAAGAAATTACTTTAAAAGTAATCGCATTGTCAACTTTGGAAGAATGGCTTAAATCAATAGCACAAAGCACCCTGACCACAGTGTGTCCTATAGCTGGCTAGTGTGATGCAAAATATATACAAACATTGAAAACTGGATTATAAAATCTGACAATAATGATACATTACATTTAATACTATGTTTTTCTTTTCCTCGTAATTTCAAAGGAACATAATTCAAATACAAGTGAGCTGGTGTGGTGATGCACGCAGTGTGCTTGTAATGTAACAGTTAAAAGCCCCTCTATAGCCCAGACCATGGCATATAAAAGTTATAGCACCCACTCCCTAATCAATGTCAGGTGCAGAGCAGAGAAATACACTGACCAGTTCCAGCTGGGTCTCAGAGCCATTGAAGCCACCTCCAATGTCCAAGATTTTCATATTGAAACCAATTTCCTCCTGAGGCAGACAATAAAATATGTAACTATAACACAAGGGATTAGCAAAAGCACAGTGTTTCTCAAGATGTTACAAGTGTCCATAACTCAACAGAAAATGGCAGTAGAAGTCAGTGAGCTGTACAAATGTAACAAGCTACAAAAGATATTTAAGATTTCTTACTCCCATATCAAATACATAGCGGGCATCAGAGATGGCATGAACATAAACCTGGCCATCCTCACAGCAGCTGGAAATGTGAGACCTGACAAGGGGTGCAAGGAAAGAGACAGTTAATGGTCAATTAGACAACTTGACAATAGCTTTAATTTTCTCCTGCAGCAGGCTGGACTAAATCCTTACTTCAAGAAAGGTGTTTTTCCTCCCACACAATCTCTACTTGCATATTTTCAAGTTGCTTTATAACCAGCCACAGCACATTTCTGCAGGCCTCACCTGACACCTACCACCTGCACACCCAGTTCCTTAGCGCTCTCTAGCAGATGTCTGCAGTCCTTAAGAGAACAGCCAAACGACATTCCTATCTCATCATCCGGGCTAGATGCTTCTGTTGACACCAGCACCAGCAGCCTGAGTTAATACACAGGAAATGAAGAACCTCGGTAACTGTTTCGCTGAGAAAGAAAATAATCCAGATGAGTTATATTAAGTAGATAGCAGACAATCAAAAACACCTGCAGCCAAGAGTGATAATTTTTATGCCTTAGCACCAGTAATAGATACAACCGGAGGCACTTTGTTTTTGGGTTGTCTGTCTGTATAGCCACTGGGGATCATTTTAGAGTATGGCTTTGGCATCCTATTGAATTTTTCTTGTGGAAGTGACTTAAAATTACAGCATCCAGGTACAGGTAAGGTAAGGATGCTTTCAAAAATACTGCAATAAATAGTTTTCATGCCTTCATGCTTATGATAGCCATTAAACTGATTAAAATTTTGATGGTCAAAGGTCAAGATCAGTGACCTCATGTCTGTCCCATTCCTGTGGATTTGACTGACTGGCGGAGACATACAACCGCAAAGTGCAAAATTCTAGTTCACAACTTGATTTGATACAAGCCTTTTTGTTGCTGATATGAAAAAAAAAAAAAAAAACGAGATGCTGTACCAAACAAATAGTAAGTAATGTCTGATAAGGCCAAGTATTAAACACTGTTGAACTGTCAGCTTCCAAGCAGTATGACCATTGGGCACTTGGACTAGCATTAATACAAGCAAGGACTTACTTTGCACTGGGGTGGCAGCGAGAAATCTTGCGTAGCTCTGCTTCATTATCACACACCAAAAGGTCAATGCCATTCCTAGCAGCATATTTAATCTGGGAAACCTGCTTGCAAACACCACTGTAGATAATATCTTCAGAGGGAATACCGTGGCTCTGCACCAGTTCAAGTTCAGACTGAAATACAAGGAGACAAAAACAGAACTAACATGTGGGTTAGGGAACACACATTTCATCATACCAGGTTCATCCTACATGGTTTGCTACAAATACATAATCAACAACAGTATTTAAAAGGGTCAAATATGTCACCAACAACATTATTTAAAAGGTGAGAAGTGAGGTTCACTGACCCCTTGGTGGTGCCTTGATAACTATTCTGCAGCTTGTTGACTAAGAGCTGTGCAATACTATTCCACATTAATGTATTTGTTCAAGTAGAAAAAGGGGGTGGTGCAGTATATAATGGTCAAATTTAGTACCTTATAAAATAAGTGTAGTAAACTCTTTTAAAACAATTGTTAACTAAGCAATTGTATAAGTATGCAAGATTCTGCAGCATGAACAGTGCTTACTTCCAAGTAATAATACTGTCTGTGGAGAAACCTGAACAGATAACAGTAATCTATCATGTTTATGAGAAGGTACCTTATTGGTGCATAGGAATCCAGTGCCAAGAGCAGCAAGAACTTCAATAACTGCTGGACTGCTGTTGCATCTGACGGTATAGTAAGGTCGAATCTGAGCCATGTGAGTTCGCCAGCATACATGTTGCCTTACTATGACTCCCAGGTCTGCTACAAAGAATGCATTCTTCTCAGACTGAGGAAGACGGAATTAACATGTTGATGAGACAGAAAAAACTGTAAGATGTTTGAGATACTTCTAAGACACTAAAAAAATCCAGGTTTACAAGTATGTGTGAAAAACTCTGTTACAGTGAGATTCCTTACCAGAGTTTGTTCATAAATGTGACTGTCAATCACATCACAGAGGGCCATGCCGCCCTCTAGTAGGCCAACAGAATACTGTGGTTCATCAGCGATACCTTTCATCCTCTGAACTGCTTCCCTCTAATCCGATAGACATAAAGAATGTGGCTTGTCTGAATTGGTCTTGCTTATTTACTCTCGAGCCCTTGGGGTCCTAGACTTATGCAACAAACTGCACAAAAAAAAAAAAAAACAAGAAGTCAACATAAGACAAAGTTCAAGTGGCCAAACGATTAACCTGCAATGCATATTCAATTTATGTTGTCCAACTGCAGTTTATTCAGTAGTGTTAGGGTGATTTTTATTTTTAGATAGAAATGAATAAAATTAGTTAGGGTGTTTTATTGGGACTGGTTCACTAAAACACTGACTCTCATAAGATTTACAGCTTTAGCAAAGAGGGTCCACAGTTAATTTATTATCACCACCTGGCTGAAGAGGCCAGGGAATTTGGGGTCACTGGGACACCAAGGGTGATAAACAAGAGACTAGATCTAAAAGCCAACAAGAGGAAGACAACTTCAAAGACAGGGCAATATACAGACACACACAGGCAGAGCAGTTTTATTGGAAAGCAATGCCTAAAGTAGCAGTTAGTTGGAAACAAAGAAAGAAGTAAGTGTCTATGTAGGAATTAAGACGGTATAGGTATTCCTCCCCTTTTAGGGCGCTGTCCACGACCATTGGAGCAGTGAGGATGATTGGAGGATGGACGGACTGAAGGACCAATATCGGGAGAGTTAAGTTTAAACCACGACTTCTCCCCAACAGTTTTTGACCAATCAGATAGTAACATCTTTTCATACAAATATATATATACCGGCAAGTTGAGGGTAGTCTTTCCTGTTTATTCTAAACAGGGAAGATCCATGTGTACATGTTCATTTTAATACGTTAATGCATAATAAATTTCACATAGTGAAATATATATCTTTTTATAGGTCTTCTCTTTTCAAAATAAAATAACTTTCATCACAGTAGCTGGAAGTTAAACCCCTTTGATGAGGTACCCATTTGCAATCATTTTCAGAGGGCATCCAATCAGTGCACAGAACAGGTTCTACATTATGGGATAACTTTGTGGAAGAGGTCTATTCTTCTGAAAAGCCACTGTGATAACAAAGTCTGGGGCATATGGTTCATCTGCTTTACCAACAATTACTCCCAACAGTCACCATTAATCCCTGAGCTGGTGACCCATAAGGTTCTTTTTGATGGCATCACCTAAGGTACAAAACGGGCGGCACAACTTTACTTTCATTAATATTGCACAATCCATCAGACAGGCAGTAGTCTGGACTGGACTAGATGTGAGATGACTGTGGTTATGGCAGGTTAAATGGGGAGACTAACAATGGGCCTGGAAAGACTGCTGTGTTGTGGACTACTCTGACAAGGCTGACATAAACAGATGAACAGACAAGAGGACAAGGGTCAATTTGTAGTACCTCCTTGATTTCAATGTGAAAGAAAATGAAATTATTGCAATTATACAATAGCATGCAGTAAGATGCTGATACAAGAGTAAAATAAAAAAACGTTTGGGAAACAGCTCAACCCTATCATCTCCTCAAGAGATAGATAGACTAGGACTTTATACAACTTAGAAATGCTCTACTGTGTCACCCCTCTCCCTCCTGACAAAGGTGAGAAGACATTCCACAGAGAAAAGCAGCCTGGACCACAGGGTTCAGTTATTAACAAAAGTGCTAAAAATAGTTCTGAACTACAAGACCAAAATAACTACAGACAGTTTGTAATTTATCCAGGACATGCCACTTATTAACATACCCTTTTGGGGAATCACTTTGTCAGCGGATTTATAAACAATGATATTTATTCTTGTACACAGGTCCCCACATAAACAAATGCAAATGTATTAAGAGATCAGTTTACAACTAATTTACTCACATGGATGAGTCCTAGGATGAACTCGTCCACTATCAGCTAGGATCCCAAGGCGGCTCTGCGTTGAAGTCAAATGGCTCTCGGTATAGAGTTTCCCCTAAATCCTCTGGATAGTTGCTGTACACCTGCAAAGGGACAAATGAGGGCAGGGAACATAGAGCAATGTTGTCTCTGCTGACACATGTTCGAGTATAACCTAGCATTTATAAACCGTACATTACAGTCAAATCTGTTGGTAGTCAATGGTAGAGGTAACGTTAGCAGTAGTGTGCCACTGATCAGGGAAAATGTGAACACTTCTGTAGCTTTTTTTGTTTGTTTAAAATGTTATTATTCTGTACTTTGAACCGTGGTCCACCCATAATACGGTAAAGTGGATGGATTTAACGTTAAGCAATCATAAGGCAGTTTTAAATGAGAGGATTTTCATTAATATGTTAAGTCATAACATTAAACTCTTCTAATCACACTCTTCCCCAGCGTGATTAGCCAAAACCTTACCTGCTTCTAGTTCAAAACTGTATTTAATATCTCTAACGTTAAGAAAAGTTACCTGGCTTGCTATTGTAATAGCTAGGTCGCTAACTGGTAACGTTAGCATTAGCCAGCTATTCAACACAATACAATGCAAATATAGTTGTACAAGAACATGCCACTTATATTCCAATAATAATGTAGCCAATTCGATGTATTTAATTTGTTTCAGCTAGCATTTATGGCAAATCAACGCTGCGTTACAAGGCTAATTTAACAACACGCTAACTGGCATTCTAACGACACGGTTTGCTAACGTTACTCACGTATGCTGAAAACCCACAAAAGGGGAGAGAGCGCTTTTTCTTTTTAGGCGGAATTTTTAAAGAGTAGTGGGGTTACACAAAGAAAAACGGATAACTGCCATGAACGTGGTGGATTATATCGAGTTACTGTCGTTTGAGGGTTTGTAGGTGCGAGTCCTATACTGTGATACTATGTATTACGGATCAGAGTGTAGGCAACAGCGCCAGTCGAGGGAGCAGTGACACATAGACAAACACAGACAGCACAGCCCGAAGTACACTAACGTAACGGTAACACATCCGGTTAGAATATCAAAATAAAATACTAAATACCGAACATAACTTTTGACTAAGCTAATGCAAACACCAAGCGGAAATAAAAAAATATTTCTGGAAAATATTGATTACATCAAAGGTTTTCTTTGGGGATTTTTTTTACGGTTAATATTAACAATTACATATTATAAAACAAAATATCCGGTATTTAGAACAGTAAAACAAAACACAACCAGCTTCCTATGCGATAATTACATGTAGGACTGTAATTATTATTAACATTATTATTATTATCTTCTTAACAAAGGCAGTGAAAATAAAATGCACCTTCAGCAACAAACTCACATCTTGACTAACCACAGTGTAGACTAACCTCTAAATGTTAAATCAGCAAGTCACATTTTACAAGAAATACCTGTGTTATGTCTTCATTGTGTTTCCCATGGCTCAGTAATAAAGACAAAATCTTTCCCAATAAAGTTTGAAGAATTTCCCCTTTATCTGTAGCTAAATGCAACAGTAGCAAAACAGTAATGAGCTAACAGATGCATTAATATTGTCTTGGAGTTCAAGGTCACACTGGATTATCCTGTTCCTTTGCAATTGTTGTGACTTGAAGAAGTTGTGCCTGTCTGAAAATGCAGAGTCTTTGGCGAGTGTTATCTTTTTTAAGGAGATAAATTTGCATTTCTCCCTCCTTAAACAGTGGAGGAGGAGGAGGGTGCCAAGCAAATCTCAGCCACTGTTCCCTAAAGGGAACCATAAGGGAAATGTTTATTCTGGGGCTATTTTGACTCTATATTAAAAGATCAAGATAGCTGAGTAGAAAATCAAAAATCATCAAAATACACATGCATCTCACGCACAGTTTTGGTGTCTAAAGCCTTTATAGCATATTTATTATAGCAATCAGTAGCAATACATTTCTTAGAAATTTGGGAAAATATAGTTATGAAAATATAATTAAATTACCCTTCTGGCTTTGTGTTTGTTGATGTTTGCTGAAATTTGTTTGAATAATCCACCCAGGTTTGTGTGGTGGAGTCGATGTCCATTTTCACTAGAGTCTGTGCAGTCTTTGGTTACTCAGTGTTTCCTTAGTTCAGTTTTTTTTTCAAGGAAATGTTGCAAAGTGACAGAGACATTATGTACAGTTGGTTATTACCTAATCATGCACCGCAAGTTGTATCCTTAGAATGTACATTTTATTTTCTCACCTCTGCATTAATAGGTACATTTTAAGAATCCAAACTGTGGGGCATGATTAATGAGAGTAGTCACTTAGTCCTGTAGAAGCCCTTTTCTTTTATGGAGATTATTCAAGTCGGCCTAAATCTTTCTCATTCTGAGTGACCCACATCATATAACAGTACATGATGTTTTTTCTAGTATCCTAGTAACCTGAGTAGTTGTGAATTCACATAACTGTGAAATTATTCAGAGTATTGGATGATCTCTGAGCACTCCTTTGGGACAAATAAACAATAGCAGTGTTTGTTTCACCAATAAAACTAGTGCTTAGAGTCTATTGTAAAGGCTGCAGAGGCAATGTCTTTTCCTTGGACTCCAACAAAAAAGTTGTTCCGTGTTTTGTGCCTGTTTTCTCCAACACTCAATGAGCCTATGTATATATAAGTCTAATCACACATAGCATCTAAAGTGGCTTCCAGCAACACACAATGTTTGATTTTCATTGTGTGGATCATAATAGCCATCACAGCCACTGGGGATGTTGCAGGGCACACAAACATTGCAAACACATTACATCAACACACAGACTTAGAAGGACCCAGCACAGTTTAACCCTGGCTGACCAAAATTTTCTAGTCACAGAGGAATAAACAATGTAGTCACTAAATAATTAAAAGAATAATAATAAAACACCTTCAACAAATTCATAGCCCTCTATATTTTTAGGCCTAAAAAATGCATAACAACACAATCTTTCAGAAAAAACATCAACAAATTTACAGTATCTTTCCATATTTGAATAATGGTAAATTATTTGTTCATGACATGGACAGATGGGAGTTGTTAAACCTGACATGAATTGAAATGCAACTGATGCTAGTGTGGTGAGTAATTCACTTTCAGGTCTTTTTGCCAAACAATGTTGCTAAGTGAAAGAAACTCCAAGCAAACCTTTCCTCACACTGATCTGAATGTTAAGCAGGACAATATAAAGCAACTGGCTGCAGGAATATAAATGGTTATAACAAAACCTGCTGTGAAATTGTGTGAAAATCATTTTTTGAGAACGGTGAAAAGTCAGTGCCGTCTTCTCCCAAACATATTGTAAAATGGCTGTATGTTCTACAATATGCCACCTAAAATGAATTGTCTTTATCTCTGGGCTTTCCCATGACATGTCATTTTCAACAATAGTATCAGAGTAGTGGAAAAGAACAGCAAGATATACCATGATGGTCAAACAATAACACAGTCTAATAAATGATGCACATTTCACCCTAATTTCCTTTCTGTCTAGATTGTAGAATAATTAATTATACTAACATAACTCTGTCAGAAGGTGAAATCATTATATGGAGTGATCTGATTTTACTATAAAGGTATACTGTTTCTGATTAAATAACACCATTAGGTGGTATCTAAAGATTATACTAACTTACACTAAACGTTATTCTACACACTGACCACTCACACCCCCTCGAGTGTGTTTGCATATCTGGAAACAGTAGGTCACTGTAGATCAAGAAAACTATAGTTTAAAGTTTAAACAGGTGATATGCAGTGAATCAATGTATGCAAAGCATTTCTGGCAGGCACATGTGTGCCTTACAACAAGTGCTTGGTGTTTTATTGTTTTAGTACAAGGAGATAAACAAGGAACGTGTTCTAAAGAAATGAAAGAAGGTAAGAGTGTGTTGGCAGCATGCCAACAAAGCAGTTTTAAAATTTGCTAGCTATTTTAATGCTTCTGGTCTATTCTAATGGTTAAAAACTTTCAGGTCTTTTTCATTAACCGTAAACAGAATCTTCAGACAAATCACAGGACTGATACAAGAGAAGCTGAAATGTTTGCTTTCCGAGAGCTATGGGAGTCCATGCACGGACACTGTGATGAATTGTGTGTGTGTGGGAGAGAATAGCACTAAACCTTTAAATAGCAAACAGCTATCTAGAGCTATCTAGTCAATCCTATTTGTTACTAAAATACTTTTCTCTCTTACTGAACCTGAAGAACCTCTTATTGAATCCCACAGTAGACTCTCAGCAGTAGCCTGCATTCTGGAGATTGATTGCAGTGTGTGTGTGTATGTCCTGATAACATCCAGGGCAGACTGGCCTCTAACCAGCCATGGGCAAATTCACCCTAGCGTTTGATGTAGAGGGTTGGCTCCAGGCAGACCAAGCATTGTCTCCCAAACAATGAACCCCAGACTCACTGAACTATAAACATGTCCCACTAGGGGCGTTTTCGTCGAATTCTGTAAAGGAGACACCCAATGTCAGGAAACCTGACCCAGCTTTTCCAAATTTAGTAACTCTAAAGCCACAAAAGATGCTGATTTGGCATCCAAAATGGCCAGTTTCCTTATCAAATAAAGTAATAATGTACTTGGAATTGATGACTGAGGCTCAAGTGTGGGAGGGAGATCTTTTAATTCAGAAGCTTGACTGAGATTCTATATAAAAAAACAAACAAACAAACAAACAAATCCTCACCTAAATTAGCTTTTATTAAATTTAATGTGGCATGTCAGCCCAATTCTACAAAATAAAGTCATTATTCATAGCAATATGTGTGCTTGGCTTTGTTGTTTAAGTGCAGCACAATCTGGTGGCTCCAGAGTTTGGGCTAGATGTTTGAGCTCCCCCTTTGTCTGGAGGCTTCCAGTATATATGTTGGCAAGCCCCTGCCCCAATGAAGTGACCTCAGCCCTGAGAACTGATGACTCACAAGGATCACAATGCCATTTTTGTATAATTTATTTCTGTCTATCCATAATTCTGTCATCCTGATGGATTGTGTTGACTGTTCTGATATCTATTGTCTCTCCTGGGTTTTTACTAATCCTAAGGATAGGGCCTGTGAATAGAGAGTGCCATATGCTGTTCAGGTTGTAAAGCTGCGTGAGGTAAATTGGTGATTTGCAGTAACTGGGCAACAAATAAAAATGACTTGAATACTTGGGCTGCAGTTCTTCTTGTCCACCAGCTGTGGTCGCTGCTGAGTAGCGCTTGTCTTCCGGCTCATAACAGATCAGCTGATTAAGGTGCCTCTGTCAAGAGGAAACCTCACGAATTGTAATTTAGGCTTATTGAATGGCAGCTATGAAAATAATTACGCATTAGAAACACTACAGACAGCTATATTTTAACTGTTAACGGGCCACATTTGAATACACGGGTGAGTCAAATTGTTAAACAATAACAATTTGTGTTGTTGTGATCAAAGCTAACGTTAAGTGGCTAACGGTAGCTAATCCGTGCTGAATATTGCTTGACCTTAATCATCTTTTTTGCCAGCTTCATTGCACACACCGTGTTGTTTAATTGTTGTTATGGCTGTCAAACCTTAGCCATTAGAACCTTAGAAGATAGGTGTGAGTGAAAAACGTTGTCATTTTGAAATGGACTTCCACATTGAATAAGCTCCTATTGCTATTGTTGCGTCATTATGTTAGCTTGGTTTATGGTAAACAGTGTACATAATGGTACAGTAAGAGCACTGGCAGCAACATTTAGCTAAAAACAAGAAATCTGTAAACACAGTACTTTATCTGTATTATAGCAGTAGTGCGCACAGCAGTGCTAACAGTTATTGATAAACAGACTTGGAAGGTGTGGAATAAAACTTATTATTGACTGATTAATAACAAAGACAGTCACATTTACATCAGCCTGAACATAGTTTTGTTATCACTTTTCTCTAGCTGCACCAGTGCTGTAACCATGACAGAGTTTTGGTTGATCTCCGCACCTGGAGAGAAGACCTGCCAGCAAACATGGGATAAAATGATGGCAGCCACACGCACTAACAACCTCTCCACCAACCACAAGTTCAGCATCCCAGACCTCAAGGTTAGCATGGATTCACTCCCTGTCTGTTGTGGTTAACACTTTTTCATGTGTGCACAACTTTATGATCTTCAAGAATCTATGGGCATAACACTCAAGTAGTTCATTATAGACATGCTGAACAAACCTAGAAAAAAATCAACTGGACTAGGTTTCTAGGTCGAAGACGTTTCACCTCTCATCCAAGAGGCTTCATCAGTTCTGACTGGTGTTGAGCCGGAGATATTTATCCTCCTCGGTGGTGTTTCAATCCTTTGAAGGCCAACAAGGTCCCTTAATGACTGAGTTAACGACTGTCCCCACAGGACATAAATATCTCCGGCTCAACACCAGTCAGAACTGATGAAGCCTCTTGGATGAGAGGTGAAACGTCTTGGACCTAGAAATCTAGTCCAGTTGATTTTTTTTCTAGGTTTTTTCAGTTTACTATGACCTGGATGACTGAGAATCTGCACAGACATTATAGACATGATGATCTTGTGCAGTTCATGATTTTAAAAGAAGTTAGATGGTGATTGTAGATGTAAAGGTGGGCTAATATTAAAATCACTCACTTTACATACAGTATGTCCACTATCAAGAATAAGCTGATTGTGTTTATGAGAAGCAGACTTTATACAGATCTCTTGGCTGCGTGTTGAAGCGTTGTCTGGTTCCTCTCTGTGCTCAAGGTGAATCCACTTCGCTGAACTTGCTGCCACATGGGGCTGTGGCATTCTCCTTGAACTGTTACTAATGCATGAGTGGCTCTGGACAAAGAGGCACTGTCTTAAGCACACAGGGCCCCCTACATGTCACTGTAGCCTGAGTGAGCCCCAGATGTTTAAACAGACAACCGTGCTGATGCAAATTGCAGAACTAAGGACTCAGAAGTCATAATGTGTTCATGTTTCATTTCTTGCTTTTTGTGTCCAAAAACAGGTTGGGACACTAGATGTCTTGGTCGGACTGTCGGATGAACTGGCCAAATTAGACTCATTCGTTGAAAGGTATGCTACCTGCAGTCTTATAACTAATCTTGCTATTCCCCTTCTTTGAACAGTGATTGTTAGTGATTAAATGCACATTTTTAAAGCTTTATAATCATATGAAATGCAGTCTTTATTTGAATTGGCATTAAAAAAAGTTCCTTAACGAGATGTAGCTAGTCCGTATTCTCTTCCCTTACCTTGTAACAGTGTGGAATTTCACAGCGGCCTAATGCCAGCGAGCCTCACAGTCGAAACTTGGCAATTTACAGTTGGGTGACACACTGGCAGCTCTTTCTTTAGTTATGCTATGTGTCGCAAGTATGCTTGACCATAATTTATAGTCCTTTGAAAATATTGACATGCAAAACTCACACAAAGCCATTGCTGCCTGAGCCCTGCTTTGCACCACCCTCAGTGGATATAAGACTGTGAGAAAGACCTAATTTTGCAACATGTTTTCACTTGTTTGAATACAGCCCGACATTAATCTAGTTCCTTTTGAAGTTTCTATGCAGTACATTGTATGTAGATAAAATACTGAAACTATTTCATTCTTCATAATTGCACCAATGAATGTATTTATTGCTTTAATTTTAGTTTTGAATGGATTAGGCTGTTTACATTTGTCATTATATGAGCAATAAAATGTATTATACTTTCTTATGAACTCTTTAGGTCTGCTGTGTGACTTGGCTGTCAGTCTTTGCTTGGCGTCACTGCTGTAGACACAGTTCTGCTTTGATGTCCCGCTGAACAGTGTGGGCAAAAATCTTGAACTCTGAAAGTTGACCATCTTAGAAATGATCTTGTCAGGGCGTTTACCTAACAGGAGTATGTGAAACTTTTGGATGTGTGTTTGTGTTAAATTTATAGAATGAGGTCACAGTGGTCATGTGGGCATGTGCACGGTGAATGTGTGCTTTACTCTTGTGCATGCAGTTTGTGTTGGCATGGTGTGTTTTCATACATCTTGGCTGTTCACAGTGTGGTGAAGAAGGTAGCTCAGTACATGGCCGATGTGCTGGAGGACAGTCGAGACAAAGTACAGGAGAATCTGCTGGCCAATGGAGGTACAGTTACCACACCGCGTCTGTTATTTGACTACCAAAACACTGTGGTTACTCGTTGGACAGTAATAGGCCTGTCAGGATAATCACTCTATTGACTTACTGTGTGATATATGAACATGACTTGGATCCTTTTTGCTGCCCGCTGTGTTTACATATGTGTTTGTTCACATAAGAATGAATGTCATCAACTTTCTGATCAGTCAGGCTGTTTCTGTCCTCTCACTTAATCTAACATATAGCTAATATTTTAATACTTTGCACTCTTGGTCAAAATGTTGAAACTGGATTGGCAGTATATTGCCTGTTAAGGAATGAATGAATGACTCTTTATACGCCTGTGCCAAATATTTGGGGCCATTTTTATTATGAGTCCATTTTATTTATTGTTTTGGCTATGTGGTTTTATTTTATTTAGGCTTTATTTATTTAGGACATTTAAATGTTTTGATGTTCCAATACTTGAATATTCGTAAGAAGCAAAAGTTTATTTCTCTGTCAAAGGGTGTACTTGCCTTATTATGTTATCATTATATCATTGGGATAAAAAGATTTTAAAATGACAGTCATGTCATTATATGTAATTAATTATTTCTGGGACAGTATCATCAAACAAAAGTGGATATGGTGACAGGCCTAGACAATCGTGATATTTACATAATATATCTTTCAATTCTTATTCTCTAGTCTTATATATTCATATATTATGAGTTGGTTTATTCAAATAACAAAACAACACTATTCTCACTGGCAAATCCAAGTTAATAAAACAATTTGCATGACTAATAACCACTAGAGGTTAGCATTTCAAAAATGAGCATTACCTAATCTTTAGCATGCTATAAAGTCATAAAAGGCAGATGAAAGTGAGACAAGTCTTTTGTTATCTTTTTCAGTTGATCTTGTCACCTACATCACAAGATTTCAGTGGGACATGGCAAAATATCCCATTAAACAGTCACTTAAAAATATCTCTGAAATCATCTCAAAGGTAAGTCTGTCAGTTTGATTGGAAAGCATACTGTGTAGCCAGTGGTCAACTAACTGGCTTATACAGATAGTCATGTCAAATAGACTTTGTTACTCTGTATTTCAGTTATAAACAATTTCAGTTTAACATTTCCCACTTTGACAGCAAATAACCCAAATTGACAATGACCTGAAGACCAGAGCATCAGCGTATAACAACCTGAAGGGAAACCTGCAGAATTTAGAAAGGAAGAATGCGTAAGTAATCCACAAAGGGTAAGGATAAGAAACAGTAAGGAAAAGAAGTCACCAAGATACATTTTCCCAACTGAATTTCTCAACTACCATCATTGTAGTTGACAACATGTCTAATTGGTTTCACCAGGCAGCTCCAAAATCGAATACTCCCACAGCTAAGCTGTAATACCAGACTGTTTAGTCAGAAGACCTTGTTTAGACCTGATCTCACTCTTGGCAAAATTGTTTTATTTGTTAGTTTGTTTCACAGATTTTCTAAAGAGATTTTCAGTTCATTTACTGTGTCAGTCATTCATCAGTCAAGATTCAAGTATCACTGGACATGTCTTCATCTTCATCACCATGCCAGCATGGTTGGAAAACTGACTAACTCTGAAATGCTTTGTTAACACCTGTCACCTTTACTGTCATTTCCATGTTGTTTCACCGCTGCTATGTGCCACCAGGGGGAGCCTGCTGACCAGGAGCCTGGCTGACATTGTCAAGAAGGAAAACTTTGTGCTTGACTCAGAGTATCTTATCACTCTGCTGGTAGTTGTACCAAAGTGAGTATCACACGACTTCTCTAATGTGAAACGTATTGTAAGCACGCCGTGATGCAAATGGCTGAAAGAGAAACAAGGGTCTGGATAATTTAGGAGAAAGATCAATTAGATACTGTCTTTGTATCTGCTGGTCCTTTGCTCTTTCAGGACAGCATACGCTGACTGGGAGAAGACGTATGAAACACTTGCTGAGATGGTGGTGCCTCGATCCTCAAAGTAAATCATGTCTTTTATATCGAATACTCTTCGAAACAGACTTTTTGCACACCGGTATTTGTCAGATGATTTTGATTCCATCTGTATTTTTACAATTTTTTGACTTAAAGTAACATATACATCCATTTACATCAGTGTCACTGCAGCAGTATAACCAGGGCCTACCTGTGTTCTCCTCCAGTCTGCTGTTTCAGGACAGTGACAGCGGACTGTTCAGTGTGACCCTATTTAGGAAAGCCATTGACGACTTCAAACACAAAGCCAGGGAGAACAAGTAAGAACTCTTTATTACTGTGCGTTGAGTTAGCATGCCTTATCTTCATCTCACAGCACTGTGTGAATCACTAGAATTCACAGTCAGATTAGCTGATCTCTGTCCTCTCCATCTTCTTCCTAGGTTCACAGTGAGAGACTTTCAGTACAATGAAGAGGAGATGAAGGCAGACAAAGAGGAGATGACACGGCTCTGCACCGACAAGAAGAAGCAGTTTGTAAGCGAAAAGGACACTGGAGTCTTCAAAATTGTTTCAAAGTTTGCTGTTACTTTTTTAAAAGAGAAATTTGTTTGTGTAAAAATGCTGAGCACACAGATTCACAGCAGGATTTGTTATTTATCAGTGTTGTTGCAGAAAGTGCACTCATGTAGGATCAAAAGAGAGATATGGCACAGTCTTCTTCCATAAGAGCTGTCTGCCAGAGTTTGATGTGTTGGCTTTGAGAACAGTCAGACCTTATGAGTCACTGGTTGCAAATTCAAATAGCAGAACTGCCACATTCGGTCTGTTTTAACCCCAAGCTCCTCTTTGCAGGGCCCACTTGTTCGATGGCTGAAAGTGAACTTCAGTGAAGCCTTCATTGCATGGATCCACATTAAAGCACTAAGGGTCTTTGTGGAATCAGTCTTAAGGTACAGTGATCATATAGTAGAGTTTTTACAGCACATAAAAGGTCAAAGTGTTTTATTTTGTCATATGCACAGTTAGGAAACATGTTTCCCTGTACAATGAAATTCTTACTTCAACGTCCACATGAATGCCACAAAATACAAATGAAATATAAAGTAGATGAGCAATAACACAAATCTAAATAGGTAGTAAAATCATAAATCTAAGGCACTTTAAAGCAGCAAGTGAAGGAAGCAAATAAAAATACAACAAGAACACAATATAATGTGGAGAGAATAGATGCTACATGGGAGCTGTGGAGTGTAAATACTCAGCAGTGAGTGTGCAATTATGCATGTGCAAACTGAGTATGTAGACCGTACAGATAGTACAGTACGGTAGGAGACATGCCAAACCTCCTCAGCCTCCTCAGGAAGTACAGCCACCATTGGGCCTTCTTGACCAGCTGTGTGGTGTTAAGTGTCCAAGTGAGGTCCTCACTGATGTGGACACCCAGGTATTTGAAGCTGCTCACCCTCTCCACTTCGAGCCCCTGGATGAACAGTGGCTGGTGAGATTTCTCCTTCCTCATGTCCACTATCATCTCCTTCATCTTGTCCATGTTCAGGGTGAAATTATTGTCCTTGCATCATGTCACCAGACCGGCCACCTCTCTCCTGTAGGCTGCTTTGTCCCGCCAGTGATGCAGGGAACTTCAGGGTGTTATCCTTATGGGAGACGGCACAGTCATGGGTGAACAGGGTGTCGAGGACGGGACTGAGGACACATCCCTGTGGGGTGCCAGTGTTTGTAACAATGCTGGCCGAAGTTCTATTGCCAAACCTGACAGTCTGGGGCCTGCCAGTCAGAAAGTTCAGGAGCCAGTCACAGAGGATAGGGTGCAGACCTAGTGTGGACAGTTTGTGGGGGATAACTGTGTTGAAAGCAGTAATCTGATGTAGGAGCCTTTATTTTCCAGGTCAGAAAGAAAATAATGAAAGATAGCAGCAATAGCGTGAGAGGTGGCCCTGTTACTGCAGGGGATCCAGGGTGTCTGGTATACTACTCTGAATGTGGGCCAGCATCACTCTCTCAAAACACTTTATAATAATTGGAGTGAGTAACGATGCTCTGGTGGAGGGAGAGGTTGAAGATGGTGGTGAGAACATCAGCCAGCTCGCTGGCACACAAAATACACATGTAAAGTACAGATGCCTCACAATTGTGCTTAAGTAAATGGTCTTATTCTTGTATAGCACTTTTCTATCCATTGCAGCACACTTAGAGCACTTTCACACTATTTGTCCATTCCCCCATTTGTACAGTACTTGAGTAAATGCACTTAGTTACTTTTCACCACTGTGCCCCTTTATGCCTAGTGTAAGTGTGTAATGTGTTCCTCCAGATATGGGCTGCCGGTGAACTTTCAGGCCATGCTGCTGCAGCCAAACAAGAAGACCATGAAGAGGCTGAGGGAGGTACTCAATGATCTGTACAAACACCTGGACAGCAGTGCAGCAGCTATCATTGATGTGAGTACTTCGACAATATTGTGTTAAGGTTCTTACTATTGCAATTACTACACCATCATAACACAATGAAAAACGGCAACATGCTACTATAAAATGTTATAATGTGATCATCAGGGCAGAAATTATTATATAAAATATTATCACAGCAAGTATTTAATCCATAGCTGAAATGATAAAACCTGAAATGCCTGCATGTCTTCAAAAATTACATTATCAAATGTCTCTTTTAGACATTTTTTTTCTAAAGTGCATGGATATTTTAGCCTTTCCAGCATTTTAATACAATTGTCTACAGTTATTTCAGATGCATTTGAGCCCTTTAACATGAGACATTAACTGCTAATTTAAACAACAGAACCAAATTGATATCACACACCAGTACTTGGGTTTGAGTATATAATGCTTTCACACTGCAAAAGGGACAGAAGCAGAAGTACTATAAGAATTAGTGTGTAGTACACTCTGCTTACAGTGCAGTATTATCGATTTAGGATATACTGCTGCTGGTGCAGCCTCTGCACTGCCTCCATCACTGATAGATAGTTAGAGGTGCTCCCCTCGTAGCAGTAGCTGGTTACTGTAATGTAATCCCCTTTATTCAGTCTTTTGCATACACTTCTAGTAATGCTTGTTGGTTGTTAAGGTGTGAAGCTGTATTGATTAATTTGGAACAGTTTGTCATTTTTCAGTGCCTGACAGTACTGGATTCAGTGACATTCTGTACCACAGCATTGTAGAGACATTATATTCAGCCTGTCATTTAGGAGCTGATTCCTCAAACCCCTCCTACAGACACTCAAACTGTTGTGTACACACACTAGCATGACTGGTCTTTGTCTCTTCTTTCCAGTCTGCAATGGACATCCCCGGCTTAAACCTGAGCCAGCAGGAGTATTATCCTTACGTCTACTACAAGATTGATTGCAACCTGTTGGAGTTCAAGGTTTAGTGCGTTTCCTATTGTCTTTATGTTGAATAGGTATGTTTTCTCTGGTCAAACTGCAGCCCCTTCTCTTCCTGCTGTCCTCGCCCTCCTCCTCCTCACAGTTGACTTACCCTATCAGCTGCTTGAGTGACAGTGCTGCATGGTCATTCTTTGTGGTGAAAAGACTCGTCATCAAGCTTCTACCACTTTTACAACCAAGGGGCAAAAACAACTTTTAAATATTGTTTTCATTTACAGTTTGTCTTTCACACAAAATAATTTGCTTTTTTGATGTGAAAATGAAATCATACTGGAGAGTTGTATATTTACCGTGTCATTCCACATGTGCCGGCGTGCGCTGATAGCTACATCTCGATGTCCAGAGATTTGTGTTTACATAGGGGTAGTTATGGCAACCAGCCCTGCGTGTTTCTGAGGTTGTAGATATTGTGAAACAAAGGTGTTAGATGAGTGTGGGTGTTGTTGTCTTATGCTGTGCATATTTGCTGTCAAAAACCCCTATCTAATATGTAAGATGACTGAATAAATCATATCAAATGTTTGTCATATGTGAATTAAGTATCAAGAAAATGACTGCATGTTTATCATTTCTTCTGTTACCTGATGTATGATTGAACAGAATTCAACTGAGTATGAATGTGGCATGGTGTGGACGTCATATGACGATGTTCATGTGAGAGAAGTGAATATGAGACAAAGGCAGCGGCTGTGCACGGAGCACAGACCGAGTGATCCCTGGAAGCCTCGTGATGTGATGATTTGCAAAGCCACAGGCAATTTCAAGGAAGCTTTATGCAGACGTCACTATGTACCTGCAAGAAAACTACTTGGGTTTCAACACCGACAGCAGAGGGCCCCAACCAGACACTTTAGATGAGGCCCTTGCATTATATCTGTGCTGGAAGTGTTTTGGTGCAGACTAATTAGAAGACTGATCAGGCAAATAAGTGAAAACGCCTGTGTGTGTGTGTGTGTGTGTGTGTGTGTGGGCCACAGACGTGTAGGGCTTTAAATATCTGAACAAAAAGAAAATGACATTAGACAAACAAACTCTACCTCAAGTGTTTCTGGTCTAAATGGAAAATAAACATTTTAAAAACAAGCTGAATAATTAACACAAAACACAATCAAACAAAAATGAATTAATAAGAGATAAGACAATAGACTTCATGCATCCAGAAGATGGCACGATGCCCAAGGTGCTCAATGTACAGTACACAATAATATAAAGTGTATAACTTTATATTACAACTGAGGTAAAAAAAAATAAAACAGCTGAAATACATAATAAAATAAAATGAAAATGAAATGATGGTGGTGTTGTACAATTACAAGCAGTGAATAAACTTACAGAAAGTTGCATCCATATATGTAACATTACAATGTAAAAAAAAAAGAAAACTACATGAAAACATACAACAAACAGATTATTAATGAGCTTTAGATGAGTCCAGTCAAATTTTATGGTAGGCTAATGTGTGCTGTTCTCCTCACAACTGGATTCACTGGGGGAAAAACAGATTAGCTTTTTTGGCCCCTCAGAGCCTCTACAGTACCTCACACCCTCTGTGCACGTGTATGTACCCTGATATGTCCCACCAGGTGCAGAAACAAACTACTGTATGCAGGAATATTAGACACCAAACCTTTGGGACAGGGATCCTGTGTAAGACATGGCCATGTGACCAGAGAACAGAGTGTGTATTGTACTTTTTCATACAAACAGCAGTAGTCTGGGGTGTGTCTGGGAGCTAATCCAGTTTAGATTCCACTGACACACACTGTATTTGAATGAGGTGTAGCCGAGTGAAACTAATTTAATGTTAAAAAAATAAAGACAATGTCACCTTGAAGCGATGAATGCCCAGTCTTCAAGTCAATCCATCTGTGAACAGCCAGGAAAGAGATGTGTGGTTGAGAGAGAGAGAGAGGGGGGGGGGGAAGAGGGAGAGGGGGGTCATGTGATGAGAGAGTGAGCCTGCTGGGCTTGCTGGGCTGGGATATGACACACACACCGTACAGGCTACAGACATCGTGCCATCTTATGACTGTCGGTACCGAGACCTGAACGAGGCCAGTGTGCTGCCCAGAGAGCAGCTGGGAAGCATCAATGGCTCCGGGTCTGGACCTGTTATTGTCATCGGGCCTCCTGCGCTGAGATAATGAAAGGATGGCCGAGCAGCGATGTGGGGACCTTCGAGTACCGACGGATGCTGCCACAGCGATGCGCCGGGATGGACAGCAGGACGGGGACCACAACGCGATGAATTCAGCGGGGGAAGCCGGAGCGGAGCACCTGTCTTTAGAAGAGATACTGAGGCTTTATAACCAGCCCATCAATGAGGAGCAGGCATGGGCCGTGTGTTACCAGTGCTGCAAGACGCTGGCGGAGGGACACCGGAGCGGAAGGAGCTCCGCCGCCGCAGCAGCAGCAGCGGCGGCTCAGAGGAGGATATCCGGACCGGGGGATGTTAGGATACACAAAGATGGGTCTGTGATGGTGGAGCCCCAGGACTGTGAAGGTAAAATATTACACAATATGAGACTGAGTGTGTCTAAAGGTAGTGGGATCTAGGCCAGCCCCTCACTTGTATTTCAAATGGACCGATGTGTTGTGATTGTCCTTATGTAAAGACTGTCACTCAGAGGCCTAAAATAAATTCCATCAGGGCAAAATATAAGCTAAAAAACATCACTACAACACTTGTATAAGCCCCAACAGACATACGTAATAGCGCCCATGTTACAGTGGTACCACAGTGTCATATAAACAAATTCTACAGGCCTACACATGAGGAGGCTTTTCCCCTGATCTAGTGTTAATTTGCATCCCAGCAGGAAAACAGCAGCCAGTTTACATCAGCTACTGACCTGATCACTCATGCCCCCTGTGGGACCAGAGACACCTACTGCTGTGGTGCTTTCACAGAACGTTCATCATTTCCTCATTGTTGCAGGCATGTGTGCATCATGTGGTTTCATCTTTTATTAAGCTTCCCAGCCTGTTTGCCACTTCATATCAGATCAGGGAGTTCATTCTGCTTCATCTGATTAAAGTGTGTGTTTACAGGCAGTAATGTGGGCACTGATCAGGGTGTGAGCTGATGTCTAAGCTTGTGAACAGAAAAAACAAACAGCTACGTTTTTATAGAGCAGTGCTTCACTTGTCCATATTCGCTTCATTTTTCAGGCCTGATTCACCTGTTCCCACACTACCTGTGACAGGGGAGCCCCAGCTGATTACAGCTATAATTAATGAGGCACAAATGGAGGTTTACAACCCTGGTATGGCAGTGTTTCTGTTGCCATGCTGAAAATGTCCAAGAGAGGAGGCTGTGTGCACAAAGCGTACCAAGAGAAAAGTCACTGCAGAATTCTGGAAATCTCCCTTTAGTGATTTACACTTATATGGTGACATTATTGTACTTGGTGGTCATTTCAATCTCATATAGGAAACAGTTATATTTTAAAAAGGGATCAACCAGGAGTCAAACCAAAGCACTGTAGCCTGTGTGGTGTGTGCGGTGCTACAGCTGATGGGTGTGTCTGTGTTCATTTAAACCAAACACACCATGGTGTTATGTCAAGGGCCTTCCATATTTATCTGCCATAATCACATTTGCTCCCAGGAGTTGTTTATCTGTGTGTAATGGACTGCCCGAGGGCCTTAACTCAGCTCAGTGTAAGCAGCATGTACCATGCAGAACACTGCTGAGTCAGTATTATGGCTTTTGATCTGATACATGTGCCACATGTTTTGTCTAATAAACCTATGAACAAATCTGAGAGGCATAGCTGTGTCATGATGCCGATTGTGGCCTGCAGGTCTGTACGCTTCGAGTGAATGGGCTATTTTTAGGTGCATGGAAGCGGCCATTGGAAAGGGGAGTCTGGGCTTTTATTCCTTTGTTGCTCATGTAATGTCACATCAGGCACAATATAAAAAGACCTACCTGTTGCAGATTAACATGTATTTGCAGTCTACATGTATGTCACATTTAGTTTGTTTTATGATTGCTTCAGTAGCTATGTGGGCTATTTCATAAGTGAACATATTGCCAGCAGCTGTTTCTTTTGCATCAAGCATGTGAAAAATGGGGTGGCTGTGGCTCACGAGGTAGGGCAAGTCGTCTTCTGACCAGCAAGTCGGTGGTTCGACTCCCGGTCTCCCCACATGCCTAAGTGTCCCTGAGCAAGACGCTGAACCCCAAATTGCTCCCGGTGGCTTGACTAGCACCGTTGTGTGGCAGCCTGTCGTCATCGATGGGTGAATGGTGTATGATCTCCTGTAAAGCTTTGGCCAGTACAACACACTGTGAGAAGAGCGCTATATACAGTCCATTTACCATTTTCCAATACAGAGTTGACACTTTGAATCAGACACAAAATGGGAAGATCTAGATAAGTACCAGTTAGAAAGGGCTATGCTGAGGGAGCTGAAATGTGGATTGTACAGTAACTGCTTCTCAGAACCAGTAAAAGGTCCATGATTTTGTGTACATCAGTGTTTCCTGAACTGTTAATGTGGCTCCTCATAGCCCTCTCAAGTTGTACCCCTTCATTCACAGCACCTGTCAGCGTTTTTATTTGGATTGATTTTAAAATGGACTTAATGTAACATTATGTAAAAGTAGAAAGTGTTATAGTAATTATTTTCATACAAATGCACTGTCAGTGTTTAGGTCATTTATACAGGTTTGTATTCATGGTATCACCACTGAGTGGCAGCTAGATGTCCAGACTATTTACTTATTACTTTTAGCTGTTCCATCTGTTGATCCATCACTTTTAGCTTGCCTGTCTGTTTCAATCATATTACTTTTAACTGATGATTTCTAATTATCCATTACATTTAGTAACTTATTTTGACCATTTATCTATTACTTTGACCCTTATCAGGTATCTGTTTTAGTTACATTAAGCCAAATATACAGTACAGTGTATGCACACACACTTATCCAAATGTATCATCACTTTAAGCTACACTATTTCAACCGCATGTTCATTATTCAGTTGTTTATGCTTTACTTTTAGCTCGCCTCACTATTTCCACCATTATCCATTACTTTTAGCTGTCTGTTTCACCCATATATTACTTTCATCTATTTCTGCTTGTTTACTAAGCAAACAAGCAATCAAAATACAATGTACAGCTGATTTGATATGTGGATTTTTTCATTTATTTTATGCTTTTAATCATATTGGTTTTTTTACTTAGTTGAGTTGCTTCACACATTTTCCATGTACCACTGACAGTCATAGGGGGAATCAGTGCTGTGCATGTCTTCAGACAGTTCCAAGTAATCTGGTAATTTTGCAAGTGGTTTTATCACTGTAGCCACACAAATGGTTTCAGTTTTCAGAGTAATTTGCCGGTCTGTTTTATAGTTACAGTGGGTACGGAAAGTATTCAGACCCCCTTAAATTTTTCACTCTTTGTCCACCAACGTTTACCATCCAACCTGACAGAACTGGAGAGGATCTGCAAGGAGGAATGGCAGAGGATCCCCAAATGCAGGTGTGAAAAACTTGTTGCATCATTCCCAAAAAGACTCATGGCTGTATTAGCTCAAAAGGGTGCTTCTACTAAATACTGAGCAAAGGGTCTGAATACTTATGACCATGTGATATCTCAGTTTTTCTTTTTTAATAAATCTGCAAAAATGTCAAAAATTCTGTGTTTTTCTGTCAATATGGGGTGCTGTGTGTACATTAATGAGGAAAAAAATGAACTTAAATGATTTTAGCATATGGCTGCAATATAACAAAGAGTGAAAAATTTAAGGGGGTCTGAATACTTTCCGTACCCACTGTATGTGTGGTTCAGCACCAACTCTCTCTGCATAATGTGTATGTTAGGCAGACAAAGTCATTAATCTTGTAAAGAGACAACTCTGACTAAAGGATTTAGGTTTTCTGATGTGCTCATCTTCAAAATGACTGAAAGTTAAATCCAGAGAAGGGTAGTTTTAGATCATTTCCACGTAGGTTTCTGGTAATCAGCAGCTCATCTGTGTTATGGCCACACAACACACAAGGTGGTGTGACAGAGGAGGCGGACTCAGATGGCCGATTTCAACATAAACAGTGTTTAATAGTGCTGTACAGATTAGAACAGTGATAACGTGTCAAAACACAAATGTCCCGAATAGATGAAGAGGGTATTTGGTGTTGATCTTGGGCAGAGATGATGAAAGCTGTTGCAGGGTCGAGCTGTGGAGCATGAGGGTCACTCACTGGCTGGTCAAGGTAGAGATGGTTGAGGCAGGAGAACACGATGAGCAGGTAGAAAACAGGATAGGAGAGCACCAACCCGGTAGATGATGTTAGTCCGAGGGGTAACGATAAGTGTTGGTCAGAGGATGACAGCTCCGAGTGGAGGCTAATAGTCCAAAAGGGGAGCTGACATCTGGAACAGGCGAAGAGAAGGCTAAGAGAATAAAGGAGGCAAACTTAAACTGAATAAACATAAAGACAGTACTGGGGTAGAACGGCACTAGTCGTCTGCTTGGGAACGAACAACAAACTGGCAGTGAGCTGGTAGGAAGGCAGGGTAGATATAAGAGGTGGGTAATTGCAGGATAGACAACAGGTGGTGATGATAAGGATAGCTGGCAGGTGTGTGGAGGTGAGAGAGGGCAGGCAAAACGGAACGACCCTGATGATCTGGCCTGCATATCTGACTAAGCCGTAGCAATCAGGACACTTTTAAGAACATTTTAAAATGTTAATGATAAATATTAAATTCAATTTGATATTGTCCCCAAATGTTTTAGTATCATTAAGAAAGCACATTATATTTCCTGCTTGACGCACACATCGTAGAGCTTCCTGCAGCTGGACAGCGTTCAGATCTGCTGATTGAGTTAAGGTCATGAGATGACATCAGAGCTGCTGTGATGCTTTACTCTGCGTTACAATACAAAACAGTTCTTTGTTGGAGGCTCAGCTGCCACTGGGCTATTTGTTTTGTCATGGACTGAAGGCTGGGCTGATGTAGCCTGCAGAAACATTGTGTGAAATGAGTCCATTCATGGCTTCTTGGAAGAAGCTTTATCATCATCAGACATGTTACTTAAACTACTAAAGTAATTTGCAACAAAACAGAGCTTTTATTAAAACTAGTCTAGATTACATATGAATAAGCAGAGCTCAGGGTTTTTTCCATGAAATTAATCGAAGATCTGTGCTAGAAATAAAAAGATTGCTTTGTGCACGCTTGTATGCCCGGTACATTTCACGTCTGTGTTTATTACATTTTTGCAACGTTACTGTTACAGCAACATTGGTGTTTGGATCACGGTAGCCATTGCTTTGCATTAAAGGACAACCCACTCATACGTCTGTGGGTGTTCAACAGTTATGTCAGTGTACTTCTCTCTGCAACTGTTAGGGTAAACGCTCGCACACAGAAGTGAGTGAGCGGTAAAGAGAGGCGGACCCAGGTAGCCGACTTCAGTGCAAGCAGTGATTTATTTATATACAGTGCAGTAGAGTGAACAAACAACGAGCAGGTAAATGATAACTGAATTGGGGGGAAACCGGGTGTTCATGAGAGATGAGCTGGAGTGTGGTGGGCCGAGCTGCGTCGCGGGGTCACTCCTGAGCTGGCTGATGAGATGATGGTAGATGCTGGAAGAAACAATAGGCAGAGAGGAGTTAGTATGGGAGAAACTTGGTGACTGTGCATCGACCTGTCTGGGAAGGTAGAGTGGAACCAAGGTCCGGAGGAAACAGGCGGTCCAAACCAAAAAAATGAGAGAATAACAAAGCTGACTAGGAGAGACACATAAGCGACGGGAACCAAGGTAAAAAAAAAAACACTAAAGCACTGGAATAACGAAGACAAAATAACAAACGAGAAGTACTGGGCAAAGAGATCAGGTGTAGGCTAGAAACATGAACGAACTGGCAAGTGAGTGAGAGGTGAGCTGGGTATAAATAAGGGCAGACTAAGGAGTGCAGCTGGTGCTAATCATGGGAGTGAGGAGCAGGTGTATGGAATCAGCAATCAGGGGCTAAGAGAGACGGAGTGAGGAAGGTGAGAGAGGCCAGAGTGGCCGGGCAAACCTGACAGAAACATTGCTTGATGGACCAAAATACAATACTGCAATACTTTTCACATGAGTGGATTATAGAGCACCATCATGTGTGCTTGCATCCTGTCAGTCATACATACATGAATGCACTGAAACTGTTTCATGATCAGGTCTACATCAGCTGCTTTTAACAATACTGTTTTCTTGTTCCCCTAGGTAAAAACAGCCCTTGCACAACAGCAGAGGTGAGTATCTCAGCTGTCATCCTGTTTTAGGTGTTTGTATTTCATCGTCACTCTTAGAAGTTTGATCAAAATCTTTTGGCTATATTCACCTGAGTATATTATCAACATGCCTGCTGCTGTGGGTGAGGGACAAAAGGAAGTGGTAACATTATCTGGAATAACCAGGATGACATTTTAAAATTTTGCTTATTGTGTACTGGCAGTGCTCACTTTATGTTAGTAATGTGCAGCCCAGTTGCAGCTGCTGAATTTCCAATGATTGTGTGTTGGAAAATGACTTTTGGGGCCAGTGTGTGTGTGACCTGATGAACACGTAAGTGGTAGTAACCTGATTTGGCCACTATGCTTCACAGTCCAGCTTCATTCCTGGAAGGAATTGCAAGAGATTGAAAAAGAAATGAACAGAGAGACATAGACTTTTAATCCCCGTGGGTCCAACTCCAACACCAAAGGATCCTACACTTCCCAAATGCAGCCCCACGTAAATCCTTGTTGAAGTATGTAATGCATACTTTCTGGCCTAAACTTGTAGTCTCACATTGTTTCAGCTGAAACAACACTGATGGCATTATGAGGGTTCATTTCTCAGACCTGACAAAGCTGAGTCATAGAACATACTGTATTAAATTTCTGTTTCCACACGCTGAGCGGTGCTCCTCACGGTGAGTAATCTAATCATAATGTGTAAAACTGTGGATGGCCCCTTTAAAACACAGGGCTATGAGATAGCCCCAGCTCATTCTCAGTTTACCACAAGCCAGATCATCTGAATGCAGGGTGTTCACGGTATCCGTAACAGCTGATGTTGACTGTTGGTTATACATTTCAACAACATGACTTGGAGACAAATACTGTTGAAGACACTTTCCATGCATGTGTCCCAGCCTCTCATCTTTCAGCTTGTTTCTTCAGCCAGCCATTTTCTCCACCTGCTCCAGGGCTCCCAGCTGCCTTCTCTGACTGACGGTGTCACGGAGGAAGGCCTCCCATTTGATGACAGCTCTGGGAGGAGCTTTAGACTTAATTAAGGGGCTATGGAAAATTGTCCCTCCTCTCTCTGTAGGACCGTCAGCTGCTGATAATTGCTGTGATAATAGCTTGTGAAAAAATGTCTTACTGTTGTAGCTTTGGATTTATTTTCAGCTGCAAGGATCTCGTTGGTGTCACTATAGAGTAGTTAGCACAGGGTGTGTTGTCCGCTGTACAGAATGTATTGACCCTTGAGGCAAATTTGTGATGTGTGATAGCTGGCTATACATATAATATTTGACTTGACATGAGCAGTCAGTGTTGAATGGATTTGAAGCTGACAAATAGTTTTGAGCTGAAAGCATTTTGTGTGTGTGATGCTGCACATTGACTGAGGATCTATTCCTAGTTCATTAGAGATGGCGTGAAGTAGTTTTCAGGGAGTTCTGGAGTTGGACTGATGTATAATAGAGCTGCAATAACACCTGGACAGCAGTGAAATACTCGAGCACATTCACATGTGCACACACAGTTGACTGTGAATGTGAAACTGTACAGGTACAGACACATCTCTTATAAGTGACTTTGCAGTAGAAACGAGTTCTCACAATAGTGTTTTACAGACTGGTACATTTTTCAAGATGTTTGATGCTTGACAGCATTTCACAATAGTGTTTTACAGACTGGTACAAGATGTTTAATGCTGTCAAGCATCAAACATCAACTCCTGCAGTAGAGATGTTCTGCTAACACACAGTGTGCAATTAGCCCAAAGCTGAGTGAACAGGAAGCCATGTGTAGTCTAACACATGACTCTAGCAAACAATGCAGCTGTGAACGTCAGATGAGTCTGTCACTAGAGCCAGTTAACCGTGCTACAGCATAAGGCTCTTGTGCAGCTGCCACTATAGTTAAATTCATATATATTTGATAGCAGTTTTGTTTGCACTCATATACAGTATGGAGGTTTATTTTCTATCTACACATTGCTACTCTCTTTTTGTTTGTGAGAAATGTGTTAATGACACCTGCACCCATGCTAACTAGACCCGTTTGGTCCTGTGAGAAGTTTGTGGATTATATGCCACATTCCCCACTGTCAAAGTTTAACTGCGCTCTAAGCTCTCCTGCTGTCAGGGCTTTGAAGTCTGGGATTAGAGTTTAACGCCATATTCAGTGTTTAATCTAAGCAGAAAATTCTCTCAGGAGTTATAAATGTGCAGTAGGTGTTTTTTCTCAGCTGATATTTCAGTTTGCTTTTATGATTTCTGTAGGGGTTGTATGTGCATGAACAAATAAATAAAGGCAAAACACAAAGGTGGAAAAATACATGACTCGATTACTGAGCAGACCTACAGGGTACAGGCCCGGGTTAGGGTGTCTGTGGGGTTTGCCTGCAAAATATCCCAGAAGGTGACAAAATGACCAGAATGAGACATACTTAAACCAACTTCCAAGAGAAGTAAAACATTCTCAGAGGTCAAATACGGCCACAGAGATTCATGATACGACCATAATGATAAACAAACCTGTCTTTTTCAGTTTGGGTGTCTTGCTTCTGAGCAGGAGGGTCAGGGGGGGGCCTTTTGCTTGTCTGTCCCCAGGGGCCACTTTAGTCATAATTTGTCCCTGGACAGATGCGGCCATTTTATTTTTAGCTGTTATGGTGTTTTGACACCATTTATAGTTTTATACCTGTAATTTATTTGGGTGAGACATGTAAGGGGGAAGAGGGATGCACTAGCTTCTACTTTCTCACATGCATTTTTGCATTTGGTGCCCAGTGCGACAACATTCTTCTACTGAACGTTCAGCAGAGTTACATGCTGTATCTTGCTCAGTGATACCTCAAAGGAGTTAGTGGAGGAGAGTGTTTACTGTGCCTTCACTTCCCACAGTTAGTTTTTTTGTATTCTTAATTAATGTATTTGATTCTTGTGAGACTTCAATAACTATTTAAAGGAATGATTAAAAATGATGGGAAATCTGCTTATTTACCTTCTTACTAAGAGGTACTGTAGATGAAAAGACCATTACCACGCTCATACACTAAAAGTGAAGCTAGACCCAGCAGGCGATTAGCCTAGCTTAGCATAAAGACTGGAAACGGAGGGAACAGCCTGGATCTTTTCACTGTTCTGCCTCTAGCTCCAGTTTTTAAAATACTGGAAGCGGTTGCATCCATGGAGTCTTATTGCTACCCTGAAGTAACCAGTGGAGAGTCCAAGAAATCAGTGGCCTAATTGTTTATGCTGTAAAATAAATGTGTAAAGGCTTGAGACTCCAGCTGCTGCTCCTTTGGCAGTTTGCTTTTTGTGTCCAATTCTCCTGCGAAAATAAAGCACATATTTTATCAGAGTACAAATTAAAATTCATGGTGAAAAAATGGTCAAATCCACTTGGTGAAGGCTTTCCTTTTTATGTAATTTCTTTTTGCTGATTAAATACCGTTCAGGCCATGCTCTAGCTGTCCCCCTCAGTAATAGCATGTGGTTATAATGAGTCCCTGGAGGAGTGTGTTTGCATGTGCAAATGGTTTTTCTGTGGGTTGTGGGGTTGTGTGTGCATGTGCAGTACATATGTCATATATCAGTAGGTGTATATCTGGGTGGGATCTGCCATATGGCTTCTCCTCGCTCCAAGAGCATTCTTTAATTTGCCCTCAACACACACGTTATATATGATCCTATTTTTCTGGAGGTCTCCCTTTTACCCATCCTCCACAACCTCTCTCATCACTCTTTTTTTCTGTCTCTGATCCTTGTTGTTCTGCATCTCCCATTTCCCCTTTCTCACTGTTTTGTTTCTCTCAGTGGTTTATATGCTGTCTTGCTCCTTCTTAGTCTTTTTGTAGTGCTCAGGGCTGCAGAATAATCCCTTGTGTGATTTCCCACTCCCAGTCTTAACTTGGGTTTGGCATCCCGGTCTTTAGCCACCATGACCCTCCAATTCCAGGAGTGCTATAACTGAGTACAGCATCTCCGGGCATACATGTACAAGTCTCTGGACCAAATAATATTATACAGCTTAATATTTTTAGCATGTTTTCCATAAATCTCATATATTTGACATGTTTAACATTACTGACAAAATGTTCCGCATTGTTACAGCTTCAAAATGAAGATTTAGTCGTTTTATGCCCGACATATTATTTTTGTGTGGTAATGCAGCTGAAAGGGTGGGTTGTACTGAAAGCACTGAGGTTTAGTGGCATTGACGTGCTGGTGGAAAGCTCCTTGTGAGAGAGTGTTTCATTTCCCAAAGATTTTCCCACAAAGATTATAAAAGCTGTCGCTCTGCTGACTCTTAAAAACCTATCATTAAAACAACAGGGTGGGTTCTTAAAGGATTTAAGGCAAGAGAGGGGAGGAGAACAAGAATGGCCAAAACAGCCAGTTGAATGAATGGGGCAGGTGTAGATGTTGGCAGAAAGTAGCCATTAGAGGCTTGCTCCTGCTCCTGAATGTCTTTTTAATAATCGTTTATATATGTTTTAAAACATGCATGCACACAGATAAATATCAGCTAA